TTGAATTATGACGTATTAAATGTTATGGTTAATTAACTAGAGATTTCTTTACTTTTGGGGGATACATAAGGGAGAATAAGGATAATAAATGGAGTATCTATGTTGTACTTATCTGGATTTTTATTTTATGTATTTTTTTTTGGCATCTGGCGGGTACAGGGATTGAACCCTGGACCTTGGTGTTATCAGCACCACACTCTAAACAACTGAGCTAACTGGCCAGCCCTGGATGTTCATTTTAAATCATCACCATCCTAGGATTATTATAAAATTTCCTTTTTCTTTCTTTCTTTTTTTTGGGGGGGGGCGGGGGGGTGGCTGGCCAGTACAGGATCTGAATCAGTGACCTTGGTTATTATAAGGTTGTACTCTAACCAACTTAGCTAAACAGCCAGCCCAGATTACTACAAATTTGGGTTGGATAGTTTGTAGAGAAAAGTTTTGATTTTGGGAGATTCATCCTCACTCATAATTTAAGAAATGCAAATTAAAGCAAAGAGATAACATTCCTTCAGTTATCAAATGGAAAACAGAATAGAAAAAGAACATTCAGTATTGATAATGTTGTAGGAAAACGAACTTTCACACACCACTGAGAGACAATCTTTTTTGAAAAAACATTCATAATAACATAGATATAAATTCAGGGAAAATATCTATAAGCATATAGAACAAATTTTTTTAATTGCTTACTTGGAGGGAGTAAGATTAGGGAGTAGGGGATTTTGCATTAGTTACTTCTATACTATTTGATTAGAGAAGAATTAGCATGTACTATTTTGTGTTTAAAAATAAAATAAAGGAGGGCCATGAGAAATACCTAAAAGGAAACAAACAAACAAACAAACACCCAAGAAAGAAAGTAGCATGGACATTAGAATTGGTCAGATCTGGGATCAAATCTAAACTTTGCCACTTCGAATTATAGGATTTGGAGCAGTTGCTTTCTAAATCTTACCAGTTGTTTTTAAAGTACAGATAAAAACACCAGATTAAAAATACTACCCTACCCAGTTGCTTTAAAGAGTAATGAGTTCATATGTAAAATATCTATTTGCATAACACTAGGTGCAGTTAACTTTCCATTCTAGCTTGTTGTTGAGGTCCTTATCCCTGCTCTGTCTCACACCCTCTTCCTAACAACCCTATATGGGTATGTACCCTGTGACCCCAATTCGTGGATGAGAAGAATGATATATTTTTAAAAACTTGCTAAAGAACTCCTAGCTAGTAAGAGGCAGATCCAGGATTCAAAGCTCGTTAAGACTGACACCAAAAGCCATGCTCTTGGTGACTGTGTTAGGCCCTAAATGATACTTTCTTTCTCTCTCATTCTTCCTTTTCAGTATTGAGCATTGCTAACTTATTTTATGGAAGACAGGATTCATAATCTTTTTTAAAGAATTATGGTCATTAGACTATGGGTTTTTTTTAAAAAGCATTTTGGCACTTCTTAAGCAAAAAAATTCATTAGATAGAACATCCTCCTCTCAGTAAATTTTGGGTAATCAAGAAGTTACCATATAAAATAAACATGCCCACGTTAAGAAATAAAACATATGGATTTTCAGCATTTTAAACAGTAAGTAAGTTTTAGAGACTGAAAAATTCTGAACAAATGAATTACCCTTTCAAAAATCAGCACTTAATCAATGGAAAACTTTTAATGTCCATATTACTTAGTGTGTCTGGTTCTGCAAGCTGTGGTGATCCCCAAAGGCCCTGGTGAAGCTATAGTATCCAACTGGAGCTCTGAAACAGTCAGTGTTTGTAACTGCAGCATATTAGATTATAGAACAAACTCACAGGTAGCTCCTCTAGTAATCTGGCAAATGGCCACCACCTCTGGTTCCAGATGAGAGGAGATTTTCACCAGGAGAATGGTCAGTTGCTACCATTCAACTAATTATGTACATCTCCTTGGAGAAAGGAAAGTGTTCCTTAAATAAATTAGAAGAATTTTTACTTTTACATTTCTTAGCACTCTGAGTATAGCAGATGAGATTTTCTTGGTCTTTATAAAATGACTAATAAAGTGGGGGAGAAAACAACTGTTTTTTTTTTTTTCCCCTTTTTGTCTTTTTTCGTGCCCAGCAACGGATTGCAACCCTCAGTGTTGCGCCCGTACCGGACCGGGACCGGCCACGGGATCGCAACCCTCGGCGTCGCCCCCCCCCCCCGCCCAGCCAGTGGGCAGCCGGTCTGTATGTGGGATCCGAACCCTCGGCGGGAGCGCCACCATGCTTCCCAAGCGGCGCACTATAGCAGTGCGCCACCGGGCCAGAAAACAACTGTTTTTTTTTTTTTCCCTTTTTGTCTTTTTTCGTGCCCAGCAACGGATTGCAAGCCTCAGTGTTGCGCCCGTACCGGACCGGGACCGGCCACGGGATCGCAACCCTCGGCGTCGCCCCCCCCCCCCGCCCAGCCAGTGGGCAGCCGGTCTGTATGTGGGATCCGAACCCTCGGCGGGAGCGCCACCATGCTTCCCAAGCGGCGCACTATAGCAGTGCGCCACCGGGCCAGAAAACAACTGTTTAATAAATGCTTCAACTTGGAAAATTTAAGAAAACATGGGCAAAGCAGTCTGGGTTCCAAATAGTCTATGCATCCTTTAAGATATGAATAAAAATGAAAAATAATACCCTTATATCTATACTCATATCCCACACTTAGAAACTAAAGGCTTAAACAAAGCAGAATTTATCATATAAGGCCAGGTCTCAGGTGCCCCATACTCCATACGTCCTTTCCTTCTCCTTAGCTGGGAGACATCTCTCCACCCTCTAAATTCACCTAACATTTTACCTGGACCTCTTCTGTCATTTATCATCATCTCTTTTGTATCCTAATTATGTATGTACAGAATTGATCTCCCTGATGAGGCTGAAAGATCCTTGAATCCCACATCTGTGCCTCATTCATTTCCCTTTGTCTGATTCATTTTTATATTCATCCCAGGTCTGCCTCACTTCAAAGTCATGCTCTTCTTAACTGTTCTATGCTCCTCTTCCAAATCTTTTCTTCTGTTTTTAGTGTGAGGTGGTTCCATAGAGGAGGGTTTGAAGTCAAAATCTAGATGGAGAGGAGAGTCAAGCAAAAAAGAAGTTGGAATCAAGAGGTTTGCAAGAAAGCATTTACCTTCTGGGGGAACTGAAGTCTATAAAGGAGTGTTCATGCTGAAATGAAGCACAGAACACAATGTGCATTCTGTCCTGAATACAGAATGGCTTTTATGGTGAAGAGCCTGCAAAATGTCCCACTCACCAGGAGCTTGGAAAACAGCAAATGGTTAGAGATGGAAAGGGAAAATAGGTCAGCAGCATGATGCCTCAGGCACAAGTGTACCCCGGTGGTCTGAGGACCATCTGGCTGAAGGATAGAGGCCTGTTGACAACCGAGATGAGTTAGCTAATCCGGATGGCTAGGTGTCCCCTTCCTTTCTTGCTGATCTTCAAACCATCTGT